GGCGGAGGTCAGGAGAGGCTCTTCATCGAGCCGACCGTCTTCGCCGACGTCACCGAGGCGATGACCATCGGTCGCGAGGAGATCTTCGGCCCGGTGCAGCAGATCTTCAAGTTTGAGACCTTTGAAGAGGCGGTCGCCCTCGCCAACCGAACCCGATTCGGCCTGGCCGCCGGCGTAGTGACCAAGGACGCCCAGCGGGCGCTGGCCTTTGCCAAGGCCGTCCGAGCGGGCAGCGTCTGGGTCAACTGCTACGTAAGTTCAAGGAGTTCGATTTTGAACCTAGAATTAAAGGGTTTTCCCCTCCTCAACAGTTTGTCGTCCGTCCGCAGACGCCCTTTGGCGGCTACAAAATGTCCGGCATCGGTCGTGAGTTCGGCGAGGCGGCCATCAACGAGTACGTCGAGACGAAGACCATCACCATCAACATGGACGAGGGCGGGGCTTTACTCTTTGGATGAGGGGAATGGTGGTGAACAAGGGATGATGATCAACAATCACAAATACGAATACGAACTGTATAGCACAAACAGAAAAATAAACCTAAACTACCGCCTCATCGTCTTCCTCCTCTCCCTCCTCGTCATCCTGCGACTCGTCGTGGAGGAGGACGTACTCTCGAGTGCTGAAGCCAAACTTGACCACGTCCCGCTCCATCAGCTCGACGTACCGCCTTGCTTCCACCTGCTNGCACAGAAATAAAGCTAAACTACCGCCTCCTCGTCTTCCTCTCCCTCCTCGTCATCCTGCGACTCGTCGTGTAGGAGGACGTACTCTCGAGTGCTGAAGCCAAACTTGACCACGTCTCGTTCCATCAGCTCGACGTACCGCCGCGCTTCTATCTGCTTTCCGTTGACATAGGTGCCATTGCCCGAGTCGAGGTCGATGATGTAGGGGCGGGTCGCCCGGCCCGTGCTTCCATCCGCTTTGGTCACCTCCACGGAGCGAAACTGAAGCACGGCGTGCTGCTTCGAGCAGGAGGGATGGTCGACGGGCACGTCGGCCACGCGGCGGTCCCGGCCAAAGAGGTNAGGGCCGGGTCGCTCGGCCAGCCGTACCATCCGCTTTGGTCACCTCCACCGATCGAAACTGAAGCACGGCGTGCTGCTTCGAGCAGGAGGGATGGTCGACGGGCACGTCGGCCACGCGGCGGTCCCGGCCAAAGAGGTAAGCGGACTGTCGGTGCAGGGCGATAAACTCCAGCGGCGTGTCCCCTTTGAAGGGATAGAAGCGCCACCGCTTCCGTGGCTTCTTCGCCTCCGCCGGCTCGTGGTACTTGACGAGGACGCCGTTGAAGGTGTTGGTGTCCTTGGCGAGGGCGCCCGTCAGCTCAAAGTTGGGCCGTATTTCCGGCGGTGGCCCTTCGGGCTCTTCCTCGGTCCCTTCAGCCGGATTCTTTGGACCGCCCTCGTTTTGATAGGGGTCTCTTCGGTTTGATGATCGGAATGATTGCTCAGACTGTTCGGGATTTCGGTGACGGTTAAAGTTTTGTCGTGGATGATCGTCGTCCTCTCGGTGTCTGCCTCGGTGGTCGTTGTAGCTTCGATTTCTATTTGGCGAGTGGGAAGTGTGGCTGCTACTGTTGTTTCGATAACGATTACTCGGACTCCTGCTTCGACTTGGGCGTCGACCATAGTCGCCTCGAGATCTGTGGTGCTGCTGCTGCTGGTGATAATCTCTGGAGCCACTTGAGGACCGGTGCTCCTGGTGCATCTCCCGACGAGCACGCTCCTTCAGCTCGCCCAGCGAGTAGTTCTTCTCCCGAGAGGAGTCATCATCGCCTCGGTGGTGGTGGTGGTGGTCACGGCTGTGGTCACGATCGTGACGATCGTCTCTGCTTCGGTGTCGGTCCATAGCACGAAGAAGAAAACTAGGCCCTTGAAGAAAATCAAAACTGAAAAGGCGCAAACGACGAGAACTGACGCGAGGACAGCAGTAGCAAAAGAAAATCATCAACAACACGCCGAAAGACGTACTCTACGAGCAGGAGATCGCACATGTTTTGGCGATTTTCAAAACAAATCAAGACTCCAAATCGGGTTCTATTTTTCACAGGATTCTGCTCATTTCATCAAGGAACTGGAAACAGCAAGATGCTGAAAAGCTGGTACCGAGCCAGCAACAGCAAGCATGGAACGGTGCTCATCCGCCAGCTGAGCAGCAGTAGCCTTTCGGAAAGCGAAGTGCCCGTCATTCGCATTCCTCGGTACATGGAACGCAGCATCGGAAATGCCATCTACAAGGAGCATCGCAAGGTGAAGGAGGTGCGGGAGAAGCAGGCGGCCCGAGACAAACTGCCGCCACTGGAGCCGAAGCACGTCAACAAGCTGATCATCAGCTGGAACGGCGACAAGCGCCTTAATCACTACTACGGCTACCGGTATGACACGAGAAAGGGAGCTTCAGAAGTCCCGCTCATCAGCAAACAGTGGAGCAAACGGGCGTCAGTCGGTAAGCGCATAAATCGAGTGGTGGAAGANACATCCGAAGTTCCGCTCATCAGCAAGCAGTGGAGCAAACGGGCGTCAGTGGGTAAGCGCATAAATCGAGTGGTGGAAGAGTTCTATTTAATCGCATCAATTTCCATTTACAGGCCAGCAAATGACCTTCCACCAGTTCGACGTCAATCCCTCGCTGCTCGAGGTGGACAGCAGCTCGGCCGCTGATCAGGAGAAGAAGACCTTCGCCGCGCTGGGCCTCAACGAGAACATCGTGGCCGCCATCAACCAGTCAGTCACCGGGAAGACTACCTCCCCAGTGACGCCCTCCTCCATCCAGTTCGGCGTCATTCCCTTCATTCTGGCGCGCCGCAACGTCATCTTCTCCTCGGAGACGGGCAGCGGCAAGACGGTGGCCTACCTGGCGCCCGTCATCCAGCTGATCGAGGAGCAGAAGGCGCTGGACGCGGCCCGCTTCGGCGCCGACTACCACCGCCGCCGCTCGCCCTACGGCCTGGTGGTGCTCCCCTCGCGGGAGCTCACCGAACAGGTGGGCGGCGTGGCGCGACAGCTGTCGGCGGGCACCGGCGTCGGCGTGGCCACCATGATCGGCGGCGTGCCGAAGAAGGGCGAGGGCGGCGCGGGCATCGCCCACACCGGCCTCGACCTGGTGGTGACCACCTCGGGGATGATCGAGTCGCACCTCAACCGAGGCGTGTATCACCTCCACCGGCTGCAGCATGTGGTGCTGGATGAGGCGGACACGCTGCTCGATGACACCTTCTCCTACGAGGTGGTCGACCTGCTGGAAAATCTCAATGTGAGTAGTGGAGCTTTGTTAAACCTTATCTAAACTAATCAACCCCCTCTTCTCTTTCAGATCAAATCATCGGAAAGCGCCGAGATGATCGAGTCAGAAGACGACGAAGAAGACGGAGGCGGCGGAGCCTTCCAGAACCTCTCCGGAACGCAGCTCATCTGCGCCAGCGCCACCCTTCCTACGACGCTCGATTCAACGCTGGGCGGCCTGCTGAACCTGGCCGAAGACGTGGAAAGGGTCACTACGAAGGCGCTGCACAACTTGCACTCCAACGTCAAGCACCGCTTCTACCGGGTGGGCAAGTACGAGCGGGAGAGCAAGCTGGTGGAGCTGCTGGCGGAGGACCGGGCGAGGGGGCGGCCGGTGATCGTCTTTGCCAATCGCACCGACGCCGCCGACTGGATCTACCACACGCTGGTGGAGAACGACCACCGGGCGGTGCGGCTGACGGCGGCCATGGCCGAGGAGGAGCGCCTGCACGCCTTCAGGGCCTTCCAGCAGGGCGAGCACGACGTCCTGGTGGCCACCGACCTGGGCAGCCGCGGACTGGACACCAGACGGGTCCGCCACGTGATCAACTACGACTGTCCGCACTACGTCTCCGACTACATTCACCGCGCGGGACGGGTGGGCCGGCTGGGCAGCAGCGGTGAGGGTGGTGGTCAGGGCGCCGCTCTGGTGACCACCTTGGTGGCCTTCAAGCCCGATGCGGCCATGGTGGCGCAGCTGGAGCGAGCCCTCCGCCTGGGCGGCGAGATCCAGTGCCCGAATGCGAACATCAAGGCGCAGCT